ACCAGTCTGTCCAGGCTGCTATACTCATTGTCCGTCCTGAATAAGGCATCCTACAGTGAGTATAGTGGTTGAAGGGCTATCACATATACTTTCCGTCCTGAATAAGGCATCCTACAGTATATGCGCTACATGTAGTCTGAGGGCGACTAGGCTCTATTTTAATTAGTGTTAGGTTAGTACTACCAGTTAATTTATTGTCGCTTGCCTCCGATTGTTATATTGATTTACCATTTGATTATGTTTACCTAGATAAGGTTAGGACATATTTGAATAATTGGGCAGTCCACTTAAATCATACCAATCAGTTTTTAATCAGTTGATATTGAACACCCCAAACCCTGGAATTGACCAGGTACGATCCCTGTGTTTTTAATGTAAATACGTTACAGTAAGGCTTGTTTGTATGTTGCAATTTTTTTTAAAGAATGATTGCTCAAAGATATTATCAATGTTCTTATTTGTATGTACACACAAATACAAGTACCTTATACAAAAACAAGCATCTTTCAACCTCTTTGAATTTTATTCTTTCCTTAAACATTTACCTGATGTCGGAGAACTTTGGGTATCAGATGCATAATCTTAGATCACTGCTCAGTACTACATGTATACACAAGAGAACGTTTTACAATGGGATTGCAAAGTGAAAAATCTCCTTGCAAGAGACCACATTCATATTACGAACGTACGTGCCAACAAATGACATTGATTCCAATGCAGATTTTTATTTCGGATAAGCGGGAACTTACTCACGCGTTACTATATTTACTCCAACTTCCTTTCGAGGGGATAAAAATGTAAAATTATGTACCTACCAAATCCAAATAAATGAGCTATTCCTGTTAAAACTATCACTATTCTACAACTCATGCCCATATTATCATAAAGATCAGTAGTTCTCATGCAGTCTATACCAGCAAGATTTAATAATATATAATGAAAATGAATATTCTTGGTCGATACCGCAGTCTTACAGCTAGATAGGTATATCTTCTTCCTTATTTATGTATTCAGTACAGTAAATTAAAGTTTCCTTTATCAATTTTTTCGGCTAGTAAAAGTACATTTTATGGTGTTACTTTTTTTTTTTTTTTTTTTTTTTTTTTTTTTTTTTTTTACACTTTTTGTTTGCATACTTTTTTGTATTATCTCCGATAATCGCAGATTAATTTATACAATGTCTTAATATGATTGATTTCTAAAAAAAAAAAAAATAAAACAACAGATTCGAATATAGTGTCCATTGGATTATTGAACAAGCTTCATCAAATTCATTTTCTCTAGGGTAACAAACATTCTTTCCTCTGTCAGTAAGACAGCATGTTTATTTCAAAATTCCTGATGAAAAACTCAGAGGTAAGGTTAAAAAATATGTCAGTAAAGATAAAAATATCATGGTAGCAACATATATTCATGCATAGCACTAATTGCATCATATTCAAATTCAATACTGGGTCGATGCTGAAAATCAATCGGGTTTCTTGTGAATAGCGTAAATGATTAAAACCCATGCTTGGTGAATGGATGAAACAATCTATACATACGTATATATAAATTTTAATTGTCAAACTTAATTCAAATTTTTGCAAAAGCATACTTCATGATATTCAAAGAATAATCAATTTAATCCAATGTCAATGGTTTTCCAAAAACCTTTAACACAATGTAAATGTAAGCATTATTCTCATTTTTTTCTACATTTAAAATGTTTCATATTCTGCTTTCTTCTTCCCTATTATACTCAGAAATTCACATAAAGACAAATTCAGAGTCTTTATTAAGTCAATACACATACACGTATGAACTTTAAACTAAGACTAGATGATATGATAAATGAAAAGAATGTAGATTCGAAGGCACATACGAGTTTTTATGATAAGTGTTCTATACATTTGTTAATACAAAATTTTCATAAGCAATTTTGCTTTCGACTTGTAATTCCTGATATTCGAGACTCTTTTCAAAATTATTTAATTCCTCATAAAATGGTTTATCTGTAGTGGTGTTCACATCTGTGGATCCTGTATTTGTCTGATCGCAGGTATTTGGAGAGTAAAGAATGTTCCTTTTTAAAAGATTGAATGCTCCTTGTCTGCCAAAAAATATGATAAACACAAGATTATAAACAATTTTGGCCAATAATTTCTGTTTTTATTGTATGGAAACAAATGCAATTATATGTGAGCAACTAAAAAAAGTTTGTGAATAATACTGTTTTTAAAGAAAGTTATATTAATGCATGTTTATTCTTGAATTAAGAACAATACCTTGTAAAATAAATTAATTTTAAAACTTTTTTTGTGTTTTTTTTAAAGAAAGTTTACTATTACGATAAGCTGATTCAAATACTAGTCATTAAACAAGCCAGTATTTTGGAGCACATTCCACATTAAATTCAGACAATCGTTTCACAAGGCCAGTTGAATACATTTGCACGGAAAAAACTGTGTATTGCTACTGTATTCCTGCATTTTCAAAAACCGCAATCAGAAAAAAATATACATGTATGTTGGATTACTATATAGTTCAAACCTATGCAAAACTTAGAGTATAAAGGTGATAATTATTTCATAGGTGTGATTTTCTTTATGAAAGCCCTCCGTCGTTACTAAATATTCATATCGATGCCAAAATTATATTTTGCTCCAAGCAATATCTCCCTAACTTGAGAAGTTATATATGCCTCAGACTATATGTTTGTGAAAGTCTGGTTTATTCACGATTTTAGCAAGAGACTTGTCAAAATCAAATTGGAGCCATAAATGTAACTTGGTGATAAAAGGATATAATCACGTTTTACGAGAGTTTTCTGCACAAATAAATTGCTGTATAACTCTAGAAGACACGAGGATGTTACCTGAGTGAGTTTTTTTTTATGTTGATACCACACTGACTTCTTGTAAGACTTAACTATTTAGTTTCGTTGGTTCTCTTATTTTGATCAATAGCAAATAAATTTTTACGACGTTTCTGAAGTCAAATTTAAAGCTTCTCTTCTTCTTACCAAAAAAAAGGAATGCATGTTCTTTAAAGCAGAAAAAGAAACATTCTCCAAAATGCTAGACTGCTTTTAAACTAACCCGAATAACTTCAGATCACTTTGTTAACAATACACAGTGTATATTGAATGTAAACTTCGTAAATTTGAAATATAAATTAAAAAAAAGTTCTGCGATATTACCTCTTAATTATGACAAAAACAGCAATAGCTGATGTAAAAATGACGTTCAGTGCAACAGATATTGAACATCCTATTATCCATTGGGTTGTTGACGTTTCATCTATAACATGAATAAATATTAAACTTAAATCGTTGCAGATTGTTTAAAACGTAATTATTTTGTCTCTTTCTATAATCAAAGGTCGTTAATTAAGACAGAACCCTTTTAGCAGATACATACTTTGGTAATCACAGGTCAGTCCACCATATTCTCGGTTGCATCCGTGAGGACAAGTTCCATCAAACCTACTGCAGATCTCACCGTTAAGACAGTGACCATTACATCTATGCTGACAGTTTACTCCAAAGAATCCATCGGCACATTCTGAAAATCATTCACAATTTCAGTAATAAGATTTTTCATAAACGTGCAACTTCAAACATTGATCTGCCTTATATGTAAAGTTCTAGAGTAGAATTGCCAATTTGATTCTAAAATAACAATTTTCATAACAATTACAAAGTATAACAATATTCAATAAGAATATTTTATTAAGGTTTTATGACTATGAGAAAAAATAACAAATGATATTGAAATTAATCCAAGTAAACATTAATCAACTTAGTTAAGAGATATTCATAACTGGAATATCGACATTTGACAGCCTAAGTTAATCATTAATAGCAAAACAAAACGGTACTATATATATCGTGCAATTCGTCATTTTCTGTCAATTGTGTAACAAAATTTTATCATTATAACCAACCTTTTGTGCAGTTTGGTGCTTCTTGGAATCCAGGTAAACAGTCGCAGTGACCATCTACATGATTGCATATACCAATACACTGCCTTGAACAGGTTTTATCACAGTTAATACCAAAAGTACCGTTTGAACAAACTGAAATTGAAACTTATGTAGCTATAAACAAGGAAGAATAACTGATGAATGTATTCTTGCATATCAAAATGCAAATTTTTGTCTACAATATACATGTAACAATAAATTACATAAACGCAAAGAATTAACTACATAACTTTCAAGAAATCTATCCATGGCTTCAACTGTTTCTCACCCATCAGAATATAACTTTTAAGGTAAAATTAATAATGATCAAATGTAACAATGTATTTTTTGTATGTATTTCCGAAATGACTCTTCTATGAGAGAACTTGTTAAACCTCATTTGTTAATGTGCGAATTTCATACTCATTTTACAAATTTTCATCCTTGCTCATGTAAATGTCCAGAAAATAAAAAAAAATATCTTTTGTACACACCATCGTTACACAGCTGCCCTTCGTATCCAGCTGCACAGCCATTCTTACATTCCCCATCGACATGATTACAATTCTTGTTATTCAAACAGTTACCACTACATTTTTGTAGACAATCTTTTCCAAATCGTCCAGGAGGACATTCTTATTGGAAAAAAAGTAAATCAAAGTGGATACCTTCGTACTCTTTATCTTAACTTAAATGTAAAAAAAAAAAAACAATGATTACATAAATAAAGGGTATACGTGATACCTTTTATACAGATATTTCCGGTATATCCAGGATTACAACCCGAGTCACACATCCCAGTTTCTTTGTTACATGAGATGTTATTTAAACAGTGGTCACTGCAGGTCTGTGAACATCCTGAGCCGTATGTTCCCGAGTTACACTCTTTATAAAAATGAAAGAAAAAATACAAATTTTAAATTTTCTTATTTCACTCATAACCCTTCCTGCTGTTTTTTTTTTTCTTTTAGACATGCAATAGTTGCAATATGTGATGTGTGTCTTAGGGAGTACTTTGCGATTTCTACATTTCGTTCAAAAATGTTTAGCTTACATCATACCGCCCCTACAAAGGGAAATAGTATTCAGAGTAAATAGCTGAACTATCATATAAGATTAAATTACAATGCATATTCACTCAAAAAAAAAAATTATAAGGCTATATAATATAAACAATAGAAATGTTTTGTCCTCTAAACCGAGGAGGACTACTGTTAAATCATTTAAATTCGTGAAGGTTAATTTTCATCGGTAAGCAAAATTTTGTTGGTTTGTGGGGACGTACTTTTGTGGGTAATTTGTATATACTGAAGATGCAATTAATTAATATGTTAACAATTAAAGTAGTTTTTCGTGATTATGTAAATTCATGGATACGGGTGACTCACAAACATTGCCCCCCCCCCCCCCCCCCCAACGAACATTGATGATTCTACAGTATTTTAGTTATATTTACGTTGATCACATTGTTTTCCCATCCATCCAGCTGCGCAACCTGCTTCACAGTAACCAGTCACATGGTTACAAGTATTGTTTCTTTCACAATGTCCTGTACATTTTCTGATACACCCTGCACCATACCATCCCCACTGACATTCTGTTTTTAAAGGTATCAATATATAACATCATGATTAACCGTAATGTTCAAATGCAATATGACAAACGTTGTTTACTGTTTTTCATTTTTTATAAAATATACCATCTTTGCACATTTGTCCTATGTATCCAGATGCACATCCCAGACATGTTCCATTGACAATGTTACATGTCTGTTCTAGACAATTGACTGGACAAGGCGCACTGCAGTTACTTCCATACACTCCTGCTTTAGAACAACCTTAATGAACAGAGTAAAAAAAATCAAAAGCTCATTTGTTGTCTAAATAGAAAAGATTTGGTGAAATCACAAATTCATTTAAGATTTTTAATACGACATGTGAATCCCTATTACTTAGATCAAAATTAGTTAATATCAAATAAACAATTCTATGATACTGTCTCTCTTCTACAATAATAAAAAAACAAGAGGCCCAAGGGCCTTAACGGTCACCTGAGTATAATAACAACACTGTAAAGGATCCATGGAAGTATAAAACAAAATTAACTGATAGACGAAGCAGTGTTGCCCAATAATTTCAAACATGGGTGATCAAAGATTACAAAGCTCACCTCGACGAATGTTTTCTATAAGTAAGGCAAATCTCACATCGTATTTTTTTCTAGTTAGTGTACATCCCAAGATCAATATCCATGCAAGTTTGCTTTAAGTAGGACTTATAGTTACTTGGAAAAAGACCTGCTCAAAAAACTTTTAAACTGTTTATTAATCAAAAAATTTTGGTCAGTTCCAACATCCAAAGCAAGTCCAGAAGTTTTCATCCTTAGATGCACCAGCTAAGCAAGTATAATCATAACAGGCAATAATATTATATAGCTACTCCAAAATAATTACCCTGGTCACTCATTTGGAAAATGAAGGTCAGATTCAGAATCCAAACCAAGTCTGGAAGTGTCCATCCCTAGATACATCATCCATGCTAATTTGGTTAAAATATGGCTAAAATTCACTTAAGTGGAAAATCTAGGTCGGATCCAAAGCAGGTTGGTTAGTGTACATCCCTAGATGCATCATCCATTTAAGTGTGGTCCAGGTAGGGCTTATAGTTACTTGAGAATGGACTTGTTCCAAAATCTTTTTGTAGTCAGTTATCTGGAAAATCTGGCTCAGATCCAGCATCTGAAGCAAGTGTGGTAGTGAACATCCCTATATGCAACATCCATCAAGTTTAGTCCATGTAGGGCTTATAGTTACTTGGGAATGGACCGGCTCCAAAAACTTTAACCTGGTCACTCATCTGGAATATATAGGTCAGATTCAGCATCCGAAGCAAGTGTGGTAGTGTCCATCCCTAGATGCATCATCCATGCAAGTTTGGTCCAGGTGGCGCTTAAAGTTATTTAGGAATGGACCTGCCCCTAAAACTTTAACCGGGACGCCGACGCCAGGGGTATAGCATAAGCTCATCTCGACTTCGTCGAGGTGAGCTAAAAATCAGGTAAAAATACCCTTGCTTATTGTTATGTGCTAGACCCGAGTAATCTCATTCGGATCATACTTGGTTTTCCCAAGTCAAGTCTTACAGAGATGATAATGATTGCAAAATATACAAATACAAAGGACACTTGTCTATTGTGTAAGGTATTCAATATATACAGATATGTTTTTGTCACTTGCCTAGTGCTACAAATCAGTACACAGAAACTTGGGTATACAACGTGGCTATTTGCCACTTGTCACTTATTACATTAAGTCAACCTGGCTCTCTGTGATTCTTTGTTCACTTTGATAAAGTATAAAACAACATCCAGTCTCTTGTCAACCATGACTCTTCTACCAGTGACACTAACTTAGATCACTAAAGTGTAAAACATACTGTGACAATTACAAATTTTGCTAAATATATAAATAATCTTTATGTCAATCTTTTATAATGCTTTCCAGGCAACAATCTGACTTTGAGCATACTTTGCTCATTTAAACCAAACATTCATTTTTATTTTGTTTCTATATATATATATATAACATTCTTTCTTGTATTCTCAATCAATCAAATAACCTGTTAATTAAACTATATACAAGGATTTCTTGATTAACAATATTTAGCAAAGGGGAGTAACTCTCATTTGCTTCACATCACAATTGTGTACTCTGCCTCCTACATTCCCAGAAGCAAAGGAAAGGCAGATTTACTTATAATTATATTTTATTAATACATTTACATTGATATTATTGCATTTATTTTGTTTGCTTAGTACTAAGGGGCAGAGGAGAAGTTTTTCAAAGCTTTAATGCATTTTGCTTATTAATCAATAGAACTCCACCCAAGCGCAAGAACCACTGACCCAGGAGCCATGTCGAAATTCAAAATTTTGGAAGAGGCGTCCTTTCTCATCATAACTACTGTATGTATTTAGTTTGTTTAATTAATACCAAGGGGCAGAGGAGAAGATTTTCAAAACATTAATTTTTTAAGTATATAATAAATGAGCCCCCCTCCCCCACCCCCTACATGGAACACCTGTGAAATTCACGATCTTGGAAGAGGTCTAACTCTTGCTTATCATAACTATGTACTTAGTTCATCAGCTATAAATACACAGGAGCAGAGAAGATTTTCAAAGCATTAATTTAATTTCAGTATATAATAAATAACCCTCCCCTACATGGAACCCCTTACCCAGGGGTCATAAAACTCAAAATTTTTGAAGAGACACTCTTGGTCATCATAACTATGTACTTAATTGATCGGCTTAATACCCAGGAGCAGAGGAGACGATTTTCAAAGAATTAATGCATTTTCACTATATAATTATTTGAGCCCCGCCCTAACACCAGAACCCCTGACCCTGGGGTCATGAAATTCACAATTTTATAAGAGGCACTCTTGCTCATCATAACTATGAACTTAGTTCTCAGCTTAATACCTAGGTGCAGAGGAGAAGATTTCTTAAAGAATTAATGCATTTTCACTACATGTATATAATCATTAGAGCCCCGCCCTAGCGCCAGAACCCCTAACCGTGGGGCTATGAATTTCACAATTTTGGTAGAGGGCTCAATGCTTATTACAATCATGCCAACAATTTGACTGCTTGATGTCCAGGAGTAAAGAAGATTTTTAAAGATTGCATTAATTTTGATGGCCCCGGGGGGGGGGGGGGTGGGTGGGCAGGGGCCATGAATTTCACAATTTTTACTCCCCTTACCCATAGATGCTATATGCCAAAATTGGTTGAAATTGGTTCAGTGGTTCCAGAGAAGAAGTTAAAAATGTTCAAAAGTTTACGACAGATTGACGACGAACGACGTACGACGACGGACGAAAACAGATAGCAATAGGTCACCTGAGTGACTAAAGTGACCTAAAAACTCCACATCCCTTGACCTGTCATATGTATCAAGAAAAAATAACTTTTATTCAAATACACCGACAATAGTTTTGCTTTGTTTGATATTACAAAAACAAAAAAAAGAAAGATACTGCGAATTGAAAACTGTCATCCATTTAATGTAATAAATGAAAAGATAAATCATGCAAAATACTAATTTTTACATCCGGTTTTACATAGTTTGTGCACTGACGATATGCATAGCACAGTCTGTAAGAGAGTTTTATAAACGCTTTAGATATGAAGGTTTTGTAAGGGGAAAAGTATGCAGTAAACTGAAAGCGACATCTTAATCATAAACAATGAACACATGGCATGATCATGGCGTGACCGAAAGAAAAAAGTATCGATTTTTTTCAATTAAAAAAAAAGGCCGTTGAGTTTTTATATCAAATCAATCAAAAAATAACAGGTATAGCTACAAAAAAGTAAGTTTATTTATACTTTCGTGCTAATCTATCCATTGCGATATCGTCAATAAAGACTGTTGTAAAAGTTTATATTTTTGCACACTGATTCCAGCGTTTCAATAATACCTTTCTCACCGTGTGTTTATGAATATAATACATGATAAATAGTGTGCATTTTTTTTGTTTTGCTTATTTAATTGTCAAAACATTAATTAGCAAGAACGAAAATAGAATAGAAATGGTAAAAAAAAATGATTTTTTGTGATTGATCACTGTTCGTTACCTTCACCTTTTTGATTCTTCAAGGAATTCATTCAATTAGTTCTCGAATTTTTTATCACCTCTCGTATTGAGTATATATTTTTGAAATACCTTGCACTTTTACTTCACATAACTCAGTGATGGAGGGCTCGTATCCTTCAGGGTAGGTAACTCCGTCCAGTCTTTCATTGTAATAGATGACGTAACGACCATATCCAATACATTTTGTATGATACTCTAAGGGAGGTAATGGAAGTGTGTTCTTGTAGCAAAGTAAACCGTCCTCTATGTTATGTGTTTTGGATATATAAACAGAAAATCCCGCAAAACGACCTCTTTGTCGCATCTCTAAAAACATTAAGAAATTTTACATGTAATATTTTTGGACTTAAACTTTTTTCCTATTTTTTTCTTTTTCGCTATTTTACACTAAATGGATATACACTGTTAAAAATGTGTTTCTTAAATCACAGTGATTTTTTTTCCAGCTTCGATGAAAAAAAAAGTATGGCGTTTCAGTATCTATTTTAGGGGAGAGGGTTATTCCGATTTGGTAACAAATTAACTGCACTCACTAAATGATAGAAAGGTGTCCAAGTATGTATGTTTCATTAGTGTATATGTCTTGTCAGAATAGCTTTGGGTTGCGGTGTCAATGACCTGCATTTTTTAAAGTATTGCTACATTGTTTTCATGAATACAATAATAAATAATCTGTATGATAACTTTAAGAAACAAAAAGCAGTTATATAAGGTATGCAAAACCAATTAATACTATAATCACCATAGCCTTCATAGTCCTTAAAATCTATACTGATGCTGTAAATACTGCGATAACCACCGAAATCTAGGGTCCACGATACAATTTTATGTGGAGCAGTCGGGCCTATAGTGAAAGTTCTCATGCACGTATTTCTATCGCCATCCACAGCTTTTTCCGGGCCACAGGGAGGCATACATTGTGGAACCGAAGACTGAGTGGCGTTTTTATCTTTTGCTAAATCAACTGTAAATATAAACAATATAGTGCATATACTTTTAATATGTTTCTTAACTTGAATAATTCAAAAGGTTACAATTATTAATTTCGGTAAAATATAGAAAATGAAAATTTTATTTAAAGAAGAAACACGTAAATGAACCTTTATAATGAATATTTTGCAATCAAATGATAAATCAAAATAGTTTGATATGAAAAAAAAATAATAAAAGTGTAAGAAAAAATCCAAATTAAAACAAATTAAAACGCGCTTTGCCGAATGTATATAACAGCATGCTGCAATCATTTCCTTATATGAAATTTAAAAAAAAAATTGTCTGCAGAATCAATAGTTGCAAACACAGGGAATAGCTTGGCTGCTCACAGGTATGCTTGCTTGAACCTAAGCAACAATTCTTCATTAAAGTTTTATATTTCGCACTCATGAGAAAGTAATACGTATATATTTAAAAAAAAAAAAAATATTAGTATTTTTAGCCAACGTATATGATATATAAAGTACAAAATAAAAAGCTAACTCAGAATGCCAAATGAAGGGATCATTATTTTGTTAAAAGTATTTTTTAAAAGTATCAGAAAAATATTGGCTAAATCATACTTTAAAAAATTTAGTTACAAGTATCATAATTGTATCTTAGTCACCAAAAGTATATTGATTGATTGTATGTTGTTTTACGTCCCATTCGAGAATTTTCCACTCATATAGAGACGTCACCATATACCGGTGAAGGGCTTCAAATTTTGACCTTTACTCGGCACTCAGGGCCATTGAGCAGTGAGGGATCTTTATCGTGCCAACGCCTGCCGTGACACGGGGCCTCGGTTTTTAAGGTCTCATTCGAAAGACCCGCAACTTTCACTTCAAAGTGCCGAGCGCATGGCGAAGGAACAGTTGCTATCCATTTTATCGACTTGGGTCTGTCGCGGTCGAGATTCGAACTCACGACCTCCGATCACGGAGCGAGCGCTCTACCGACTGAGCTACCGTGAACGGTCCCAACCAAAAGTATAAAAATTTAAAACAATATTGTCTCTATCCTCAGTGTGAGGTTTTAATACCGTATATGTATTAGTACAGTGTATTTTTGTGTATATAGCATGGTTTTGACCATGGATTTGGAACTTTTTGTTGCCTTCAAATGAACAAACAGAGATCGATATTGGTCAGGACAAAAAAAAATCTTATCAAAATATAAATGAAAACATATGATGTACACTATTATTAGCACCAAGAAAAGTATGAAATGAACCTTTATTTCTTTTAATTCTAATATGGCCTTTATTACTTGCCTGATAGCTCTGGTGACACAAAAATGCTTCTTAACTTATCGGCATACTATAAAACTTGACCTGGCCCCTTTTCCCTTGCCTGACATCTAAGTTGGCCCGGTCTCTATTTTGGCATCTAATTTGGCTCCAAACCATTTTGGCCTGGCCTCAAACATTGGTCTGGCTTCAAATTTTGCTTCTGTTTTGGCCTCACCCAAAAAATGATTTCTTTTTCAGAAATTGATTGGTGATGGTGCATGATTACTTTAATGTGCACATTTACAAATCAACAGAAATATGTTATTTATCTGCTTTTGCATGTACTTAGAAAGCTTGAAACCTATAAAAAGAAATCAATCAAATCAATCAAATTCTGAAAAAGAAATCATTTTTGGGTGAGGCCAAAATAGAGACCAAAAATTTTTCCAGAGGCAAAATTTGAGGCCAGGCTAAATTTTGAGGCCAAAATTTGGTTTTGAGCCAAAAAAAGAGGCCAGGTCAACTTAGAAGCCAGGCCAAGCCAAATGGGCCATGCCAGGTTTTATAGTATGCCTTACTTGTCACTGTGTATACATGTAACAGAGTCGAAATAAATATTGTTACATTTTTATTGACCTGATGCATATGGAGAAATTGAAATGATACATCAAAATACTTTCAGAAGGGAAATTAGTATATTTTAGATCGGATTAAGTAATAATAAACGTCTTGAATAAAACAGTTTCTTTGGTAAATATGTATCTGTATAAAAGCTTACAACCTTTGAACACAAATGAATACCCCAGAATATTTACCTGATACGATATTGACTACCCTGTGTATTTTGCCAAGAGGAAAACATTCGTAAAGTAGATAAATAAATATTAAAACACATAAAAAGCGTATAGATTTTAATGAGGTCTGATGTCCGAACTTTTATGTTTCAAAATCAAAAACACCGTTTTTCTCCTAGTCATCATATCTTGTCTTGAGTTAGTTTGCTTCTTGATGGATGTACTTAATTGAAAACTGTATGTAAACTGCTCATTAAATGCCAATTTTATTGTTCTTCAGTTCAAATACAAGTATTTAAGAAGCCTTTTAATGTATATGGTTTGTCAGATTTGGTCATCGAAATTAACTCAGTATAAAAGATATTTAAGACAGCATATAAAATCAAAGGAACCTTTTACATAGAAAATGATGTCTGAGATCAGTATAATACAAATGGTGGAGAAATAACTTATACACTGAATATTTAACTTACCGAAACCTTCCAAATGATGTATTCCTATAAATAATATTAAAATTACGTAAATAGTATCCATAATATTAGATATCAATGATAAACTACCAGGTAGTGTTTGCAAGTATATTTATGGTGGCTATTGTTGCAATTCAAAAGATAATTTATCATTACAACTTCCTTATAGTGTATGTTGGTACATACTTCTAATTATTTTTAGAGTCGGTAGGGGAAGAAAGTTGTGCAGAAAAAAATACAAGTTTCTTAATTTGCAGATCTGGATAAAAAAAATGTGATAATGTATTAAACTGAGCCTCATACTTGCTGATAAGGAGTACGTTCCCTTGCAAAAAAGCTTGGCAGATGTAATTTATCAAGAAGATCAGTAGAATTATTTTATATATTATAACACAAGTGAGATGCCTTGAATTCCCCTACTTTCACTTTCGTTTTCAGAGGTTAACCCATACAGACGCAATTGCCGGAAAACAAATCTGACATGCCACCTCGAGGTTTTAACCAAGGAAAGACAACTTGACGTGCTTTGATTTGAGGGGTCACTCAGTGCTAAACGAAAATTAGGGACATTGCTATGTGAAGAAACGTTATCATTGCCGCCTATGGGAAAACAATTAGTGGGCTGTACCCAATATGTGGAGCCTTTTGGTAAGAGAAAATTCTCATAGATCTTTTCTTTGCTTTGAACTCGGTGTTTACTATCATTTCCAATTGTTTAATTTATGATAGAAGCAAATTTTAATTTGTTTATACATATTTTGAAACAAATCGATTTGTTAATAGCCCCCCCCCCCCCCTTTTAGGAACAGACAGCTTATGCTCATATCTCCCATTATGTACACATGTAGCATGTAAATTAAATGTATCGATTTTATACAATTTATTAATTCAGAGCCATTAATAGATATTTAGAAAAGGAGCAATTATTTTAGAAGTACATCCACTACTATTGCTTACATGTGTATCTTCAATACACAAAAATTCACAAATGAGGTCGGAATCGGTATTCGGTGAAGTTCAAGGTCAAAGTGAAAGTAGAGTGGCAGTAAGTTATCAAAACTGCTTAGTGCTACATAGTGCAGTTTCTGTATGTATGTAATATGCATTTGTCGTTTTATGAAAGACGCAGGTAGGTTAAGGTTTCCCGTAGAATATCAGTGCACTCTGTGCCTTCACATCTCTGAACTACCAAAATATGACGTCATAATGGAAAATGACGTCAAGTCGCTGCAAACTTGAGGTGTTATGACGGGGAGAGTGTCATAAACTTTACACTTAGTTTCAAACTGCATGTAAAATGCTAGATAGCTATTACAAAATTCACGGGTCGTTAAAGGTTTTTCAGTCTTATATGTCCGAATGTTTTAAAAATACACCGCTTACCTACCCTTGATTGAAATTCAGCATGTTCAAAATGATTATGAAAAATATACTTTTGAAATGTACTCTGTTTTATACCCGTGGTTGGAGGTAGAATTTATTTTGTGTGTGTAAAAGAGTCTGGCGCAGGTGATTAATGAGGATTAATCTGAGAATTTTTGTGGAAATCTGTAAGAAGAGGTTGTTCTCTAACTGAATCTTGCTTGGGAAAAATGTGTGTTGGCTTTGTTTTAGTACAGATTACGATATTGTGTGGAAAATACCCTCAAATTTGTAGGTAAGCTGAATTTCTCAGGAAATATTTTGTATCTAAGTAATACTATGACTTTTCCCAAGCACATTTCGGATACACAAGGATACGATGAGTTTAACTATATAACAAAATGTTAATAATTATTGTGTTAATCAGCTGCGCCGAAGCGATTTATATGGAACACTTCGAAAAATTATACATGACCGTCATGTGATCAACAAAGTCATGTGATATCATAACAAATATGTTAATTTATAGCCGAGGATACCCTCTATATAAATTGGGAGTACTTAAGTTCAATACGTATAATTTAAAACCAAAACCGACCTCGCAATGACATATTATGTTTTGAGCGCATTTTAAAGCTTCGGGAAGCCTTAACATAGCTGCGAGGTGAAGAAAAAAAAAAGGTTTCCATGCCTTATTACAATATTTGTAAATAAAAACTTGTTTTTAAGGAATAAAATTACATGAATGAGGACATACATGTGCATTCTTTCAAAGAAGTCGGTCAGGCTACAGTTGTGTGGAAGTTTAGCAGTGTGTGCGTGAACATGCACACTAACATTTTTTATATTTCATTAACCGCATTACATGTATAGACGAATTTCATATTCATAAGAGTTACCTCCCGTTGTCAGCGTAATGCTCATTTTTCTTACTATAACCGTTGTAACTTACCTGTAAATATTTTCAACCTTTAAACGCTATCGGACAATTTTGATGCGTTCATGCATTGGCATTGTATGGGGCAACATAAAAAACATAACAAACATATTCATATAGATTTCATTTGTAAAACATTGCCCCATGAATTTTGTAATGGAATAGAGGGAAAACAGTGTCTAACATCGGTTGACCCCAGATTGACCCCGCAAAGGGAAATAACTTTTGTAAATGTAAAAGTCGTGTATTTGTCTAATGTATAATTATTATCAGTAAACATGCTGTTTATTTATATTATTAATTTACATGTAAATTAACAATGTTGAGACTAATCAGTGCAAATTCATAATTTTCAATTGATATCAAATTATGGGCATAAAAGGAATGTTGTAGGATTGTGTGTATTTGATGTCTGTCTGTGAATGTTTTAGGTGCTTTTTGATGCTGATAAATTATTGCACCATTTTTAAATTGATTTTTTTAGGTTCCTGGTGATACAGGACAACTTCGAGGTTCATGCAGATGGTGTATAAAACTATCAGTGTCAGTAAAAACAAACTCATTTGAACACATCTTGAGTCTTCACATGTAAAATGATGGCAGTACTTTTAATATGTAAGTTGAATTTTCTAAAGCTTCTTTGTGTGTGTGTTTCGGGGGGGGGTGGGGGGGGGGGGTGGAGGTGGTGTTAAAGCTTAGAAAAAAAATAGATTTTAAATGAATATTTGAGCTATGAAATTGACCATCAAACTAATCTGTACACGTATGCAATATATTTTACAGCTAATATATTTTGAAAGGAATTTCGAAAGAATTACATTTATAGTGTCGTGTATAATGAAATATTAAGATTAAAAAAATATAAGAGTTGAAATTGCTTTAATATTTGTCAGTCAGAATGAGTGACTTGTCAGGAAATTCAAAATTTTCAAAGTTCTCATACATTTTCCCACAAATTACAAAATGGTTACCATGGAAACAAAACATGTTCTGTAGACTATTTATTTGATCTGTTCATGCAAGTATTTTTATTATTTTATAGTTATAATGAATATTTTAGATTTAATTTCCTCTTTAATCAAAATACGGGAAAAGTGACGCTACATGTATAATAAGCAATCCATTATTATGATGTCATTATGACGTTATAGATGAGTGAACTTGCATTGGCGTAAAAATTGCTTTGAAACAGATGAATCTATACAAGAATATAAAAGCTTCTATCTTTTTTTATTCCTACACCAATTTCCCTGATTGATACATCAATGGCCAGGAAATAATCTGTACTTTCTATTTTAACTACTTTCGTTCTATTTATAAACTAAACTAATTTTTAAACTAAATTTTTTGACAGCCCACTATTTGTTTTCCCATAGGCGGCAATGTTAACGTTTCTTCTCATAGCAATGTCCCTAATTTTCGTTCAGCAGTGAGTGACCCCTTAAATCAAAGCACATCAAGTTGTCTTTCCTTGGTTAAAATCTCGAGGTGGCATGTCAGATTCGTTTTCCGGCAAAATGTGTCTGTCTGTGTTAACCTTAGAAAATGAAAGTGAAAGTAGGGGAATTCCAGACATATCACTGTTGTTATAATATATAAAATAATTCTCCTGATCTTCTTGATAAATTACATCTGCCAAGCTTTTTTGCAAGGGAACATACTCCTTATCAACAAGTATGAGGCTCAGTTTAATACATTATCAGTTTTTTTTTATTCAGGTCTGCAAATTAAGAAACTTGTAATTTTTTCTGCACTACTTTCTTCGCCTACCGATTCTAAAGAATAATTATGTATGTACCCAACATGAAAAAGTATTTTCTGGATTTTACAACATTTTACATCATAAGTCATACTACAGTCTATGTAGTGACACTATGCCAAATTTATGGAAAATTCAATCATTAATAAAGATTTTATAGCATGCACAGCATGCACAGTTCTATATGCAAAATCCTTTTAAAATGCTTACATCTAGCCACAACTGCACCAACATTTTTAGTCATCGGTTAGCCTATTAATGTACCATTTTTATTCTCTTTTATAACTTTAAATACATCAAACAAAATTATGATCAAGCACTCATATGGGTCCATTTCTCTTATTTTAAAAAAATCAATGCATTTTTGCACAAAATTTGATCATCCCTCACCCTTGAATTCATTGTTTCTCCATGATAGACAAAAAAAAAATTAAGTTTACAAATACCCCAAAAGTAGTAAAAATGGAAAGGACTGATTATTTCCTGGCCATTGATATATCATTCAGAAAATTGGTGTAGGAATAAAAAAGTTATAAGCCTTTATATTCTTGTATACATTCATCTGTTTCAAAGCAATTTTTACGCCAATGCAAGTTCACTCGAGCTCATCTATGACGTCATAATGACATCATAATAATGGATTGCTTATTATACATGTAGTGTTACTTTTCCAGTACTTTTAATTAAAGATGAAATTAGAACTAAAATATCCATTATTACTATAAAATAATAAAAATACTTGCATGAGCAGATCAAATAAATAGTCTACAGAAAATGTTTTGTTTCCATGGTAACCATTTTGTAATTTGTAGAAAAATGAAGGAGAACTTTAAAAATTTTGAATTTCCTTACAAGTCCTCATTTTGACTGACAAATATTGCAGAAATTTTAACTCTAATATTTTTTAATCTTAATATTTCATCATACACAACACTATGAATGTAATATTGTTTTGAAATTCTTTTCAAAGTATATTAGCTGTAAAATATATAGCATACGTGTACAGATTAGTTTGATGGTCACTTTCATAGCTCAAATATTCATTTAAAATCTATATTTTCTAAGCTTTAACACCACCTCCATCCCCCCCCCCCCCCCACACACACACACACAAAGAAGCTTTAGAAAATTCAACTTGCATATTAAAAGTACTGCCATCATTTTACATGTGAAGACTCAAGATATGTTCAAATGAGTTTGTTTTTACTGACACTGATAGTTTTATACACCATCTGGATGAACCTCGAAGTTGTCCTGTATCACCAGGAACATAAAAAAAATCTATTTAAAAAATGGTGCAAGAATTTATCAGCATCAAAAAGCACCTAAAACATTCACAGACAGACATCAAACACACATAATTCTACCACATTCCTTTTATACCCATAATTTGATATCAATTGAAAATTATGAATTTGCACTGATTATTCAAAAATTTTTAGATTACATGTAAATTAATAATACAGGTAAAAATCATGTTTACTGACAATAATACCACTTATACGAGCCTGGTCTCGGATAAGTGAGTTTATTTCAGTAACCCTAGTAATATTTATCTATTCCGGATAAGTTACGTACATTCGGATAAATATAAATTTTCACCCTTAGTCACAAGCTATCATTCCGGATAATTTAGGTCCATTTGTATATAGTCTAATAATAAGTTCTTTTCTACCTCCTTTCTAGAAGAATCAATTAAACGGTAAGGTCATGGAAAATTTTTGGGAGTTAAATTGTGGCAATGTTTTAAATTTTTTAAATCAAATAAGTTTGATTTTTAGTATAACTATTGAGGTTTGTAGTTTCAAAGCAAATTAGACGTATCGATGGCGAAGTTTGACTTTGGATTTGGCCTGATTGGACTTTTTCGTAAATTGAATTGATTTTACGCGATGTTGTATTTTGTGAGACTTTACAGGTAACAGGAATATATTAAGATCAGTTTGGGGGTCAAATGATTGTTTAACTTGAGTTATTATTTTTAGGAGCGAAATGTTAAACTTCGAGTCCATCATAGCTATAACGGGGGGGGGGGGGATAATTTCATAAAACACGGAATATTCTCAGAAGCTGGGCTTACTAGAAGGATTTTAGTTTGTTTTTCTACATAGATTTATCGTGCTCGAAGGAGGTATATTGATTCGCATTTTACAAAATGTAATCGTCGTTAAATCGGAGAAAGCATTCACGAGAATTTGTGCACTTTCACTTTTCAAGTAATCAAAGTACTGTGTGTACTGAGAGGAGGTTTATTAAATTGTGTAAGTGTTATGCTCTATTTGCAGACTTGTATCATTTCATTTGTTTGTTGGTCTTTTGAAAAGGTTTGGAACAGAACTGTTTGTCATCTTTTCCTTTTTTTTTTTTTTTTTTTTTTAAGAAAACACAAAGGTGCAAGGTTTTATGGATGATATTGTATGAACTGATTTTCCTATTACATAATGGGATGGGAGTTAACTTGTATATTATGTTACACAACATATGGGAGCTCATTTGGTCCACATGGTCAATTTCTGCATAAAAATCCAACTAATGAAAGCAAAATCACAGTTTATTGAAATAGGATGAAAACATTTCTTATTAAATTTGCAAGCATTTGTCTCACAGTGAGCAGTCAAACTGCAGCAAAGCTGTGGAAAAGTATTCTTCATATGCATTAGAATAGGTAGGCAAATTTGCAGGGTTCAGGCACAAGCAAGGAGCAAATTATATTGGTACAAAAGGCAGTAAGTACATAAAAAACCTTAAGTAATTGATAGTGATTACAGATGTATGTTACCATAATTATTTATTTTCAGGTACATTACCAAAAACAGGTCAACATTTTTAATTTCATTTTTTTAAGACAGCTTTATCAGTGAGTCAACAGCTGCAATGGGCACAACATTCCTTTCCATCAAAGCATGACCTTATCACTTCCCCAGTAATTCATTAGAATAGTAATTAAAGATTTGCAAAAAAGAAACAAGTAGGAAATGTTGCAGTTGTCCTAATACTAGATATAAAAGTGGAATTGGCAAATGATATAGATCCTAATCCAGCTTCAATTAATCGCAGCTATTAGATTACATTCTAGGGAAAAGTATAATTTGGTTAAGCGAGTCTTTGTGTGAAAGGGGGGGGGGGGCATATTTCAAATAAACTGGTAATTTTTTTAAAAAAGATGGTCAAAATCAAATTGGTTCCTCGTCTCCGTCGGATGGACTAGTTCTGATATTTAGTTAAGCTATTAGAGCACTGTGATAGGCAGATTAATAAAAGTGATTGGTCAGGAGTCTCACTAGGATAAGCAGCACCCAGTACTTGCTCCGTATGTTGCTTATCAGGCTATCTTTGAATGGATAGTCTGCTAATGTGTTCGACGAGACGGGGAAACAAAGCTTGTCAAATAATCAGTTAAATTATATATGAATCAATTATTATTATTATTTAAAGATTTAATAGGTTGATATGAAATTGCAATATTGAATTTACTAGTACATAAGAAAAGTCAAAACCAAGGAGTTAATAATGTGTTGTCAAAACAATGTTGATCCATTTATTTAAGGTACACTGACATTCAATTTTAAGCTAATCTGGTAAGGGATATCCAAGATATCTCCAGAAGTATGCCTTATAAAGTATACCAGTTTTTTTTCCACCGCACATACCCATGGACAAAGAGTTGCAACGTACTCAAGAATTTGTTTTCTCGGATATTTTATTGTGTTTATCTATTTTATTGCACACCTATGTCAGTGTCTAATGGGGATTTAAGCCTTGAAACTAATTTTATCATTCTGTTTAATTTTTACCAAATACATGTATAATTGTGTGTAATACACAATGGTCCACGATTATACCTTAAATTTCCCAGAAATAAAACTACTCCCTTACAGATATTTTTTGAATGCTCAGAACACTTAGTATCGCAATTACCTCGAATTGTATAACTTACTGCGGCTGTTTTGCAATAAAGTCAAGAAACTTATAAATCTCCATTCATTTTCGGGGCATAACATGTTGTTTACATATATTGTTTACGCTAGTGACAATTGAATGATACGAACAATAAGTATGCCGAAGGTACAATGTAATGCCGATGGTTGCACTTCAGAAAGCAAGTCAAAGTATTCGGAATATTTAGACTTCCAAAATAACGTTTATCAGAAAGAAAATGATTAAACTTATTATTAGAATAGTCTACTTAGCGGGAAATATCCACAAAAAATTAACACAAGAGAGCTAGCATTTTAATTTCATAGCGTGGTGCAACGAACATTTAGCTAGGTATTTCACCAGGGCTTCTTTCTTATATTATATGTCCCTTAAGAATCTGCAGTGATCGATCTCATAGTGTAGTCAATAGCTATAGCACATTGTCCTCAGCTATTAATCAACGTTTCCTACCTTCAACGCAAAAGAGTTTCATTACGTTAAGTAATAGCGATATAAAGTATTCTTCCTTTTGTTTGAAATAGGTTAAACTACCCTTATGGCATGAGGTTATATAAAACTAAAATTAGTCGTACTTTAAAACACTAAATAGGTGATGATTAAATTAATAAGCCTTGGCAGTTATTTTTAATTAAAACAGTTTAACGATTCGAATGTAGTTGCAAGTACTTCCATGACCAGTCATAAAAGGTGTTTATCCTTTTTTCAGGGAAACTTCGAGCAGGTTTAGTCAGAATTGGATACGGCATATCATGCCCATATGTTTTATTATTTGTAGAATACAAAATTTAAATCTCATTCACTACAATTGGGGAGCAACCGCTAAAGCACATTTGCCACCAACATGCAGGGGGGTTATTTTAGCTTTGAAACGCTGGCTAAAAAATGTACATGTTTAGGCATCCATTAAGCAGTTGTTACAAGGCTCACATATTTTTACTTTCTTTCATTTCAATGATTTATTTTTTTTTTTTTAATTTTACTATGGATTATAGTTGTTTGATAAATTGTGAAGAGGAAATATGATTTATGCAGCTGGGGAAATGAGAAGGGGGGGGGGGGGGTTAAGTACACAAATATTGTTTTTAAAAGTATTCTAAGTTCAGAGATGACGTAAATATCTCGTTTTTGTTCAATTTGGGTCTGATACACTCCACACTTTTTAGTACAACTATAACCAATACTTGCAAAGATAGTTTAAATTTTTATAAAAGCCATAAAAATGCGTAACAGGAGTAACAACCTAGTAGGTAAGTAATACAATAAAATAAACCAACGGGACAGGGAATAGAGTGCAGGTATGGATCC